TGATTGACCTAATGCACCCAAAGAACCTAATGCTTTCTAGTTCACCTCCTCGTTGCCCTTCAGATAAATGTAAAGGCAGTAGAGCAGTTAGAGAAGTTTAAGTAAGTTAGTAAACAAGTAAAGTAGCACAAACCTTAGTAACTACAATTGAGCTGAGTCTCAAGACTAAGCTCTCGCTGCTCAGTTCGATTTTCATTTCCATGCTTAACTACGGCCATGAGTCATGAGCCATCACTGATAAACTTCGATCCCGAGTACAGGCGATTGAAATGGACTTTCTGAGATGAGTCGTATACCTGATGCGTCTCGACATTTTCCGGAGTAGAGAAATCCGCAACAGCCTTTGGTGTGCAGCACCGTTTCTTCATGCTGAGATTTCACAACTGTGATGGTTAGGGCATATATTGAAAATGCATCCTGAAAGGAAGGAGAAACAACTAATTCTTGTCCAACCGACCAGCAGAAAGCCAAAGAAACGGCCAAGATTAATCTGGTGCAAATATATGGAAGGAGACTGCTCTAGAATCCGGTTGTCCTCTGTCGAAACTCTGAAACAGGATCGTAAACGTTGGAAGCATTCTGTGACTCATCTGCCTCTGCTGCACGAATAGAGAATCAGCCATGAATGACAAAGAAGATGAACCGACGTACAAATTGGTGATGTATTTTCTTGATTGATATATCAGTAAAAGAGGGATAATCGAGACCGCGCTTGATGTTTGAGCCAGGCAACTATATGGTTCACAGGAAATTATGAACACATATTCATTTGGTACTAAGATATTTTTATTATGAAAACAAGATTTATGCTGCAGCGATATCATGGAAACCATGATAATTTGCTTTAATCTGTCGCGTCATTTGCAAATAACTTTAATGTTTCATCGTGATCGAACGTGCAAGTAATTTGCAAAAGACAGTCTTGCGCAAGATGGACTGTACCTGAAGGCATCTAAATCATTACTATGTGAATCTTTTTCGGAATTGTAAATGTGCACATATTTCGGCTTTAACTTCTGAGAAAGTCTGTTTAATTTTAACGCATAATTTTATGAACGTAATTTAAAAATATTTTTGCTTTTATAAAGTGGACGAATATAGTGAATAGATGCTTGTTTCATGACTTTCGCACTTGGTTTAATTGCTAACGGATTTAACTATATTGATTTTGTTGTTGATGAATAAGTTGAACACTCTTCATGTTAAACGGCGCAGTTAATGAATCTTTCTGTGAAACTTAATGATTTAGTATTTTTCTGAATTGAGTATTATAATTTTCCAACATTTCTGTTTGATTATTCTATCTGTTGATCGACCGTTGCAATCAGCTGTTTATACAAAGATATTTAAGTCGAGGTTCCATGTTCAACCTTTAGTACCTTTTCAGACCTTTATATGTCACCTTTAGAAGGGGTGAGAATTACGAATGGGCGAGATTATAATCTTTCAATCTAAGACCTTCGTATCCTTGCAATCAATACATTGGAAATTGTCCTTCGCATGGTTCGCAACAGAATATGTTAATGTTCATGCTGGAAAACTGCCATATGTTCATTTTGACGGATTTTGGCTGGTCTTTTATCTTACTGATGTAAATGTTTCGCAACCTTTGCAACCCATTCGGTACCGTCCGGTTTTAAAGCAGGTCGTCTGTTGTAAAGTGGTCGTCATACAAGAAGCTGCACTGGGTGATGCCTTTTGAGCAGATAACATGTAATCCGACTTTACGGAGACAGTGATGAAGGCGTGAAAAGAAATCCTTATTCAAAGATAAGAAGGCGGTGTTTCGGAGAAGAAGACCGTAACTTAGATGATAGAAATGATACTGGAAAATGGGTGACCGTAAACGTTATTTGTAAGTATGCATGGCAGATTTTGGATTTTGGTCTTATATATGAATGCGTCGTTGAAATGAGGAGTCGAGCGTCTGCAAAAAATGATGACAGTGTTGGTAAAATATGATTGGGTACCGAAGAAGCTGGGCATATAAAGTAGGTAACCGTAGTTCTATTCCTTGTAGAAAACGGAAGGAGACAATAAACTATTCATTAATTCTTTCTTAATCTTTATATCCAGAAAAAATTTTATTTTATCCTTATTTGATTGCAAACCCTTTCTTCTTCTGATGTTCATAGCCGTGTAAGGAATGAAGAAAATAAAAATCGACTGACCAAAATATCGCTAATGTGTTTATAATGGAAAAATTGTTACGCATCACCAGGGCAGAGATCCAAAGCTGCAGACATGAAGAACATTCTGCCATTATGAAGCATGCAATTGACAATTTAAACTGTATCGGTAGCAGGTAGGTGAAGATCTTAGACCGTGAAAGCAAAGATCATTGCCTTTGTTATGATGCGCGAATACGCCCTTAATAAATCTTTTAATCCAATTTTGTTAATATGAATTTGAACTCTTAGCCGTATTTTAGGAAATTTCTGGAACTTCGTCGACTGAACGCTATATACTTATTTTCTGAACATTTTGATTTTGTCCTACCGATCGTGGTGATCTACAATGGCTACTTTTACGCCGCAGATACCGCCGTCAGTGATTCTGAAGTCGAAAGACAAACTGCAGGATGAAGGTCCTCGCCGACAAACCAAGGAGGAGTACAGGCGAATGAAAGAGTTGGAAGAAGCACGTAAAGCTGGTATGCTCCACAAATGCTTTTTTTTCTTAGGAGTTTTGAGAACTTTTATGAACGGCAATTTTTAGGCACGGTTCCCGCGATGACCGATGTAGAGACAGGCAGCGACATCAATCCACATATCCCTCACTACATCGCCCAAGCCCCGTGGTACATAAGTGCCAGCGGTCCAACTCTAAAGCATCAACGGCCTCACGAAGAACGGAAAAGAGGTTTGGCGGACATCAACGAGTGGTACAAACGGGGGGTCACCAACAGGGTCGTTACAAAATACCGAAAGGGTGCTTGTGAGAATTGCGGAGCTATGACACACACGAAGAAGGATTGCTTCGAAAGGCCACGGAAAATTCTGGCTAAGTTTTCAGGCGAAGATATAGCGCCAGATGACGTGTCGCAGGCGGATATAGAGTTGTCGTAAGTAGCTGTTTAGATGTTTTTTTGCAACAACAGGAGTAGTAATACTTTTTATGTCAATCAACAGTTTGCATATACTTATTTTATTAAGCATTAATTTTAAAACACGTGTAGATTGCTTTATGCAAAAATAATTTTCCGTAAGCATAGACACAAGCTGGTTTATTCCGCCGAAGACCGGAATTGTTCAGTGGCGGTAGAACGTCGGATTCAGAACCGAGTCGTCCCACAATGGAGCCCGGTCTGGCAGTTACCTTTTTTCTTTCGAAGTGAATGAATGAGTACCAGTCTGTTGGATGGACACTGGAGACTACACAAAACGTTCGCCACATAACTAATATTCTGTCTTAAAAAATAAGGCACTCCTGAATGATGGCAAAAAACAGAGACCAGCTCTTTAGCATTAATTTCATGAACTGAAGGGTGCTGCAAATGCTCCCTAATTCCAAAGAGATACCGACATCCAAAAGGTCGCAGTCTTTTCAATTTCTGAAAGTTCGTCTTGATTTTACGCCAAGAACTCATAAATCTTTTAAGTTTCTGATTCAGTGGTTTTCACGACCAGACTCTTTGTCTTATGTCTCAAAACCATTGAATCTGAAATTTAAAGGATTTACATGCTGTATATTTTTTCTTTTTATTCTGCATATCAAAATATTGATAACCACAAACTGTCGATATTTTACCGTGCGGATTAAACTTATAGATAAAAATTATCCTTATGGAGAATTTAAATTAATTTGCCTATTTTACATAAGAATATTGAGTGTATATTAATGAATAGTTACCAAAATACTTTTTTATTTGAGTTATAATTTGTTTCGCGCACAGTAGTTGTTCTCACACCCTCTATGATTTCCATTCCACTACCAGAAATTCATACTTTCTAGATAAAATTCAGCTACTTTTTATATGGGTGAACTGTTTTTGATTTAATTTGAAAATTAAGAAAGTTTGACGGATGACTGTGGATTGAATTTTAGGTATGATGCTAAACGAGACCGATGGAATGGTTTTGATCCGGTTGAATACAACTTGAAAGCAGTGGAAGAGTTCAAGCGGTTCGAAGAAGCGAGGAAAACAATCAAAGCTGAAAGTCTAGAGGAGGAATACCTGATTGCGAAGTCGAGTGAAAACGGCGAAGAGAGAGAAGTAAAGGAGGAAGAAAAGGAAGTGAAAACGGAAAAAGAAAAAGAGGATTTCGACGAGGACAAATACGCTGAAAACGCTGCCATGCCTGGTGTAAAATTGGACACGGACAGTCGAACAAGGATTACTGTACGAAACCTGCGTATCCGAGAAGATACGGCAAAATACCTATACAATTTGGACCTAAACTCGGCTTATTACGACCCAAAAAGTCGAGCGATGCGCGAAAACCCGTTTAAGGAGTCAAACAAAGCGCCTGAGGAAGTGCCTTTCGCCGGCGACAATTTCACACGTTACACCGGCGAGGTCGTTACTGTAAATAAAACGCAGCTTTTCGCGTGGGAGGCGCACAAACGGGGAGCTGAGGTGCACGCTTTGGCTGAACCTACGAAACTTGAACTGCTAAAAAAGGAGTACACCGTCCGGAAGGAAAATTACAAACGTATGCATTCAGAATATTTTTTTTCGTTCTTGGTTGTTATCTGTAATTTACCTTTTTGGGTAAGATTTGGGAAATTGCATAAACATCAAACAAAAAGAAAAGTGAGTAGATATATAGGCGATATCCAGATGGAAGGGAAGCTGAAATGCTTTCAGCTCTTTCAGAAGCCTCCTCTTGGATAAGATCATCAGAGCAGCTTGGCCACAACTGAACAAAGTACGGGACCGTAAGCAGTTTGCTTCTGAGAGGGGGTGAAACGAATGATGTTTGGGATTTCGCTCCGCGACCACATCGCCAACGCTGTAATCGGACAACCAGTCTGTATGAAAGATGTCGTTGTAGTACGCAGGGAGTGCAAAATGTCATTGTCCGTAGTAGCACGACGATCTTTGAGACAGAGGGATAGACAGAAATCTCCAAAAGCCGTTAATTCTACTGCTGAACTATTTCATTGCGTTTTGTTAATTAATTAAGCCGTTTTTAATAGTCTCTTACTTAAACTGGAATGTCCCATTATAAGTGTTTGCAGTGGCTTCCGTTTAGACGTCCAAGAGAAGAACATTTTGGAAAAGTATGGTGGCGAAGAGTACCTAAGAGTACCACCCAAAGACCTGTTGCTTGCTCAGACCGAAGCCTACGTCGAGTACAGCCGTACGGGAAAAGTTGTGAAAGGCATGGAAAAGCCGGCCATCAAATCCCGTTATGACGAAGATGTATTTGTTAACAATCACAAGAGTGTATGGGGATCCTATTGGACTAATGGCCAATGGGGTTATGCCTGTTGCCACAATACGGTGAAGAACAGTTACTGCATCGGTGAAGCTGGCAAAACACTTTTGTCTGTGACATGAGCGATTCAGTTCAGCAGTGATAGGACCTTGTCGCCATGCGAGTATGAAGATGATACCTTACTAAACTGTCGTTCGATGGATTCACTGAATCCTTATATCGTCGAGTTTGTTTGGTTCCGTTTCAGATGTATTATTCTGACGTTGAAAGTTGGGTTTTGCGTTTAGTTTTGTTTCGAAAGTAAAATACCGCATCTTTGACCACTAGAATTTTGATTTTGACAATGATCTTAATTAATTAGCTAATGACTGCATATTTGTCGATTATTGTAGCACGTGCTGAGTGCATATGTTTGTTGCGGTCATTACCATAAGCTATTTGCATAAACCGAACGTCTCTAGTCTGTGGAATCCGCTGTATTCGCAACTTTTCAGCACTTTTGCCCTAAGGCGCCGGTTTCTGTCGCAAAAGGAAATATACATCTACAAAAGAAGATCCGTCTCTACCTTCTTCGTCTATTTTGTATAATGGCTTGTTGGTAGACGTCTGTCATGTTTCGGCTCCAAGCTCTTGAGCTGAATTCTTCAGCGTGCGCTCAACCGGTTTTTTTTTTAACAAGGCCAGCTTTCTTTTCTTAATCTCCACAGCTACCGAGATAACATGTGGCCGGAAGGCAATAGAGCCATTCCTTACCTGCTTCTGCCATTTAATTCTAATTGTGGGTCGAATCCAGTGCTGCTGTATGCAGTTCAACCATCACTCTTGCTTCTTCGTTACAACGACTGTCTCCGTGCCGTACAATAACACTGACTTGACAGAGACAAATTTTTCTGGCAGAGATAGTTCCTTTCTCAGCCCAGATATTTGACAGATTTCCAAAAGCATTCGAGGCTATGGCAATCCTCCGATTTGAATGAGTGTGGATGGTGTCACTACTACAGATGATGGAGTCGAGAAACTTAAATTGATCAACGTCCTCAATCGTTTCACCTCCTTGTTTCACATTTTGCTTAGCTATGGCAAATGGATTCGTCGTAACTTCTGACATCCGTCCGGGTCTTAAGCAAGAGGCCGTCATTCGCCGTGCATTAGTTGAAGGACATCGATCTTTAGGCAGATCCATTTTATACTTCGACGTTAACCGCCTTATGTGAAATGCCTTGTGTTTTTCTTGTCACAGTAACAAGACATGCAATTATTTGAGTGATGCGTTCTATCCACAAAATGAAACTAGAGCTTGCATGGGGCAGCGGGTTTATGTTGGTTTTATTTTTGATCGATTGGTAAGATTTAAGCAACCTTCTTGGAATGGCAAAAACAGTATTTTCGAGATGATACAAAACGATGGTTTATTAGGCCGAAAGGTCACACGGGAAAATTTGATTGTTTTTTTATGAATTCCTGAGTGCTGACAATTCAGTACTGAAAGTTATCGAAGCTATTGTCGTGAAAGGTAGGGATATCATCACTGAAATTGTGGACACCTAAAAAAGTTTTCGGCCTTAACACAACAGTGAATTTGTTGACAAAATCTAACAATGGTACTCGTAGTCCGGTTTCGTGCTGGAAGTATCAAAATAGCGTATGAAATGGAACATATTTTATTTTAAAATAACGGAATAATTTTGTTTTTAATATCATATTGAATAGTATTAGTGATATTTGGTACATTAATGCTTTTTGCCATGCTCACAACTTTCTAGAGAGATCTTAAGAAAAAAGAACAGTCTAAAAATAATGTATTTTTATGGAAAATGAATCGGATAATCTAATTGACTTCCTGAATGTGCTGTTTAAGTGTACAACGCGTAGTTTCGTGTTTAACCTTACGGCATTTGGAAAACCTGCACATAATCATAGCAATTATTGACATCGTTTTTGCAACAACAGGTTTACATAATTAAATACAGAGTAATTGCATTCCAAGTAGAAACTGAACATAAGCTGAGTTGTTTTTGCAGAATTGGATAGAGGGAATACATTGCATAAAGTCCTTTTTGTAAAAGTTAAGTTTAATGTTAAAAGATTGGAGGCAAAGGATTTTTTACCTCTCGTATTTATTCTAAGGCTTTTGCATAAGATATTTCACGGCTAGTTCAGCCGGTTCAGGATTCAATTGCTGTAACCCTCGATTTTTAGGTCAGACGTTATCTCTTCCCATCGGATAGCGTTGCAATGGTTGCAGGGGTGACATAGTGCCATTAAGATCAGCCTGGAACTCTGAAAGTACAGGGTTCGATGCGGAAGAGGATTAATGTTTGATTTGAACACGAATTCCCTTTAACAAGAATTTAATGACACGTAGTTTTGGGTAGGCATTCGTTATTGAGAGGTCCTTGATTGGGTCAAGCGTTTCTTCTTCTGAGGTTGATGAATGGGTACCACTCCGTGGGAAGGAAACAGGAGGATACAATGCTTGCTACGTAGCTGATGCAGATTTTTCTTTCAAGAAATAAGGCTTGCCTGGCTGGTAGTGTGGAAATGGATATTAGCGCCAAGCTATTAACTACACGAAAAGAAAAGTATTGAAAATGACTCCATAATAGGGTCGCAAAGTAGATCGAAGTTCTAAGGAGTACAATCTTTTCTTCTTCGTTTGTGAGCGCTGCAGAACCTGAATGAGTGAGCAGATGACGAATGACTATCCAGAAAGCTCCAAGAAATGTGAAAATAACACCCGGGCTCATGGGCGATTAGAGTTTTGCAATACTTGGCATAATGTCCTAGTAAAGCCCGTCGCATTATTCAGAGACATTGATGAATGTGGGGGGAGGGGTGCTGGAACCCCTGCTGGTCCAAATTAAGAATAGCACCATAAGTACAGAATGCATATTTGAAATATCAAACCCTGATCTTATCGAGTGACAGTATAAATCGATGGAATAACTGAATGACAACGACGACATGCAAAAAAACAATTGACTGGCACAGACATGAGATATCGCCTCAGACAAAGATACGTGACAATTGCGATTTGTATCATTTTCGTGGCAGAGGGATGACAGATCCATTCCAAACCTGGCCTCGTTGAATGACATTATTAATCTCATGTCAATGAATAATATCGTTCTCTTTTCAGTAAAAAAACAAATCGTACTGATAATCTACGCTGAGAAACGTATGTGGGTATAATGGGATTACAAGCAGTGAAGATGATTGATTGAGAACGTGGTTTGCGGAGGCAAGGCATTGACATCTGATGTTTTCTTTCAGAGTTTTGAACTCAAAGTCACCTTAGTTCTCTTCTGACCGATGCAACCGTGATTAATTAGTTCAGACTTGCCGATAAGTTTGTTGTTATTTATTTTTCTATTTTTTGTTTACGAATGTGTGTCGTTATTTACACCGAAAGCCAAGATCGTTTGACGATTCTGTTCGAGAATTAAATTTTCAATTTTCAACATGTTTAGCGTGTGTGGATTTCGAATACACTCCAAGTGAAGGAACAACTTGTCAATCAACGGCGCATACTTCCCTATTCTTCAACGTGGTTGTAAGCACTGAGACCAAGTTTTTCATACACAACTTTCG